GCCCTTTCAGCCTTCCCAAAGAAGCGCTACTTTCACCATGAACCAGGGACCAGTGGTTCTCTAAAAAAGGCCTTAGACTGAGTTGGGGTGGCTCTCAGATCTGAACCATATGCATTTACTGACTTTTTTTCAATAACTTTCTGGGCAAGAACCGCGCAATGTGTCCAATTTTTCCACAGCAATACAAAAAAAAATATTAGATAATCTCTTGTATAAGAAAGAAATCCACATATCTTCAAGATTCTTCCTCATTAAGAAAAAGCCCTTCTTCAGAGGTTCATTGATGTTAATGCAGAATCTTACATGTAGGTAGTTATGGTCCAAAATCAGATCTTCCTCTATTTCCTCTACCTAAGTGCATTCCCCCAAATTTGGCCTTCCTCTCTATGCTTTGTTTTTGTCATCATATCTAAAGCAAACCCCAAATCTAGACCAAAACTCCACCATATTAAACTAGTAGTCCCAAACAATAGATTGAGGTTGGCATTTCCTTAGCACAAGTAAAATACACACAGTCAAACAAGGACCTTTATTGAGAATTTTATTCCTATCACCTTCATCCTTTTCCCAATGGGTAATAAAAAAACCTTTCTTCGTCTTCCAAGCAGCCAAGATGACATTGTTTACCCCTTGTTTATTGAGAACTAATTTTTGAGAAAATCTTACCTAATGAGAATGAACTGTTTAATCTCTTCAGAGTTTGAAACCTTTGTGAACAAAGACAATATGTGATAGTTATCCCTATGGGATTGCTCCTCTTGTACTATTATGGTTTTGGTGGTTATAGAATGGCTTGAAAGACGATAAGGGTTCTTGGTAAGGAGAAAATAGAGAAGACAAAGAGATTAAGAATACCTAAGCAAATTTTGGGTTAAGAGAAGCTAAAGTTAGATTTGATTGTTTGATTTAGGTAGTAAGGTGTAGGATGTAGCATGTGTATCAGATGACAAAGAAATAGGGAGGTCATTAAGGCATTGATTGATGAAAGGAAGATTTAGGGTTGTAATGAGGTAGGTAAGACAAAACATCAGAGAACATTAGGGTTTATGGTTGGGTAGATATATCAGGAGTTAGAGAAGAAAAAATCATATTTAGGTATCACGAGGGTTGGGTAATTGGAAGAAAGGTGCTTCTGTGCTTAGGGATGTGAGATAACTAGGGTTTTGTGGCAAGGAGGTGGCTACCTTGGAGAAATCAGGAAAACCAAGAAGAGAATATTCCGAGGAGCCAATATTTTTTTCCTTTTGGTGATTAGCTTATAAATCTAACATTGAGCACTACATATCTTACTATATATGTTATTGAGGAACAGTGTGAATCTTTTTTTATGAATGGGGTTGTAGGAGAAGTTGGGTCCTATTTAGTTTGCATCTTAAAAAATAGTATCTTAAAAATTATTTTTGAAAAAATTTTAGAAAACTGTGCTTTGGTATTTTTTGTATCATATAACTTGTTTTGTTATATGCTTCTAAAAATAGTTCTACAAAATAGAAAACAGTAAAACTTGTTTGGACATTAACCCATAAAACAAATGAAAAAAGAAATGTGGTAGTGGTGGGAATGTGGTGGTGGTGGTATTTTCTAAATTCTAAAAAAGTTATTTCAAAAAACATACAAAACAGTTCTAATTTGTTCTCTAAATCTGCCTACTTTTTGTTTTTAGTTTTCAAAAAATAAAAACAAAAAACAACTAGTCAATAACTTTTTCCTAGAAACTGTTTTCGAAAATTATTATTTTTTTTGAGATGCAACCCAAATAGGACTCTGATTTTATGTAATTATCTTTCTATTGTCTTTTGCCATTTAGGAAATATATTCAACCAAATTTCTGATTCATTTGATATATGGATTCTTTAGATATCTACTATGTTTTAAGCTCTTCTCGACTTTAGAAATAATTGATAATAATTTTTGAAAATAAATATTGTAATTAGGGTTCCGAAAAGTACCCAAAAACAAATCGTGCATCGACAAGTATTCACCCTAATCTGAGTTAATGGGAAAGTGGCCATATGATTCGTGTTGAAGTCAATTGACAATTCAACAACTATAATTAGATTGACAAAATCAAACCCAATTATAATTACTACTTGAAACTGATGGTGATCAAAATTAATTGGACTGGGTTGTAGAATAGACTTGAGTGAAGTTCAACGAGTGTACGGGTATCTGGGAGAACGTGAATCTGAAAGTGTATGCTACCTATATTCTACAAGAGGAAGATAAAATATGAATAGTTCATCTTAGCCGAAGGACTAAAGTTACGTCTACTGTAAGAGAGACTCCTACTTTTTGACATTGTATTGATTAGGGAAGAAGATTGCGATTACAGGGTGTTTGGCTTGAGGCTTTTACAAGATGTTGCCTAAGTTTTACTTGGTGACTTTTCAGAATGGCTCTCTCGTGCATTATAGCCCTGTTGGCTATTTATACAACTAGTAGTTAGTGTTTCGTGTTTATCCTTTTTGGCCAATTTGTGGTCCCTTCTGTGTTTATCTTTGTCCTAGAGTTGTGGTCCACAAAACCTTTCTACACTCATTACTCACCGACTGCAGTACTTGATTTGTCTCCACTACCTACAGGTTTTTGTTTATCAAAACCGTCAGATAATATTTTTCTTATCCTCTGTTCACGCGTCATGCTACAGCTTTTGCAAATTGGCTTTGTGCGGGGCTCCTAAGTTCCGAGCTTGTTACTCTGAATTTCTCTGCAACCGATTTGTGGCCCAATTGTGCTCAAGAAAGTTTGTTTGGGAGAGCAACTTGGACCACTTTCTACAAGCCCAAAAAGTCTTGGGCTCTCAAGGCGTCGAACTTAAACAATCATTATAAAAAACTAAAGCCATAATGCTCTATATCTCTTAATAATATGCAAGACATATTTTTTTATCTTCGTGCTTTGTTGTTAAAAATTCACAATATATTTTTGAAAATAATCTTTTATTGTTAATAGTATACAATAGAATAGGTGAATTGACACAAAATAAAATTAATTCAAAAATATGACTGTAGTTGTAGGTATTACGTAGGTGGATTTGATTAAGAGGTTAAGTCAAGTTTAATTAAAATAATAAAATCTACATTTTAAGTTTTATTCTAAAATCTTCAACTCAATTATCATCCATATTTAAAAAATAAAACTTGGTGTACATAATTCAGATTAATATTTGAGTTCAATTCGGTTTAAAATTAGATTTAATTAGAGTTTTACAATTTAGGATAAATTCAAAATAAAAATTCACTAATCTGTATTGGAAATGCTTGAAATAGATTGATTCCCAAAAGCTTGAAATATTAATTCAAAGTATTGTCTAAATTCAAATCTGAATATTTTTTTTTATTGAATCGAATTCGGATATCCGTCAAGTTTCGCCCATGACCCATGGACCCATGTAACCCATGCAATAGCAAAAAACAAGAGGGCGCGTGGCAGCTCGTGTGGCAGATGATGCGATAAATACAAGTCTTAGTCCAACAGTTACTTTCCTCTTTTCGTCTCTTTAGGGATTGGCAGTGTCCCGCAAACCCTCCGAATCAACATAAGAAAAACTCGTCCGAAAATGGTTTGATTCTCCGGCGAAAGTCTCCGTCGACCTATTGTCTCCGTCACTCGTCACGCGGATCCGGTAATTCTGCTTTGATTTCACTCTCTGCAGTTCACTAATTGTTCAGACTCTCGATTAGCTATTCAGATCAAGACTTATTTGTTAGCTCGTAATCTTGAAACTTAGCTTCAATCTGTTCAATTTTCTTGGTCTGAGTTCTGTATTTCAGCTCTCTTTATCAATGTAATTGACGTTTCTTGGTGTTTGGTTTTTCGAAATTATGAATCACTTGTTTGTATATGTTTCGGTGTGCTTGTTGATCTATTAGCACATTTTTTCGTTTCGGAAAATTCGAAGTAAGCTTAAACGGATTGCATAAACTGGGATACGTGCAGATTACATAAGACAGCACAGTTGAAAGGGAAGTCAATTTTTTTCCCCGGAAAGTAAATGGAAAATAAAATCGTAAACGACAAAAGCTTAAATCTCAGATATGCAACTAATCTCACTCAGCAAGCTAACAAAATTATTGGCTGAAATTCTAGTCCACCTGACCCTTCAGAAAGCCAAGGAGTAACTAGCTCATCTTTTACTCAATCTGGCACTTCGTGCAAGTCTAACCATCAAATTTAGTTTTGTTTATGCTGATGGATGTTAATATTTGTAAAACATAGTGTTGTGCGCACACAATGCGAACAGATCTCGGAGTGACTGGAGTTTTTCATGCACTGGACTATTTTTATTTGTTTTTAAAAAAATCTATTTTTGATGTGCTCATTCAGTTATTCAAAGAATCCCGTGTCTTAGCCTGATGTATTAACCTTTTCCAGATTGTCTAGGTAGGATCTTTAATTCTTGGTGTTATCGAACTTTGTTTGTAAGATGTGATTGATAATTCTACTCTTTTTGGAAAACAATCGAGAGGAAACATTGGAAATGTGAACTTGTTGGAGGCTTTGCAGTTCTATTGTATTTCTTGACCTTACTTGCTGCTTTTTGGCACCACTTATCAAACCTCTCATGTAATGACGAATTGAACATAGGTGATTTGATCGCATTACTATGCCTGAAGTACTCCCATGTGAGATCTTCATCATGCAACTTATTCACTTTAGGCTACACAATTTTTTTTTCGTTACAATAGAATCCAAAAACAATGCTCTGTGATTTGGAAACTTTTTTAAGATTTCATGAGGCAAAGATATTTATATTCGTTCATTTATATTGTTCAAGTCGAGGAAACATCTTCTTTGCATGTTGGGGTAAGGCTGTGTATATCTGATCCTCCTTGGACCCCACAATGGTAAGAGGCTCGTAGAGTGGGCCGCCCTTTTTCTATATTGTTCGATTAGTTCTAGCTTGTTCATTGCAGATACAAAATTGGACATTCATTATTTTATTATTCTTTTGAGGGAATAGGTTTATTTGTTTATGTTTCGTCCAGGGCTTCTCTGTCATGGAAGATACTCAGTCGGTTGTCACACTCATAGACTCTACAACCTCAAAGATACAACAACTTCAGAAAGCGTTTGCTGAGCTTGAAAGTCACCGAGCCGTTACGCTTAACCTGAAATGGAAACAGCTTGAAGAACATTTTCATGGGCTTGAGAAGTCCTTGAAAAGGCGTTTTAATGAATTGGAAGACCAAGAAAAAGAATATGAGACCAAAACAGTTAAAGCAAAAGAGTTGTTGGAAAAGCGTGAAGCTGCAGTTGTGGCCAAGGAACAAGCTTCATTGGAGAGGCTCCAAGAGACTAGAGATGCTGCACTCTTTGCAATTGTTAATGGTGTGGAGAAGCATTCAAAGGCATCTTCTGTCGAATCTGCTGTTGATAGCCAGGACCAATTTGGGGAATCTGTCGTGGAAGAGAAACCAGCTGATGCCGTGGCTACTGAAAGTGTCTTAGAAGACATGAAAAAGCCTTCTGAAAATTACAACGTGGAGGTGAGGTTATATCCTCAGCTAGTCAAATTATGCCAGGAGATGGATTCAGAAGGTGTCCACAAATTCATATCAGACAATCGTAAGAATCTTGCTGCTCTAAGGGAGGAAATTCCCACTGCATTAAGGGCAGCAGTTGACCCTGCTTGTCTGGTTTTGGACTCACTCAAGGATTTCTACAACTCAGAACTGTCGAATGTGGATGGGAAAAAGGATTCAAATCTCTTAGGTCTACGCCGAACCTGCATTATGTTGATGGAGTGTCTCGGCCTTTTATTAACTGACCCAGATCTGGATTTTGCTTCTGGCATGGTCTCTGAAAATGTTAAGGAACGAGCAAAGGCTATTGCCGAAGAGTGGAAACCAAGATTGGCTGAACTTGACGTGGATGCCAGCAGTGGAAACTCCTTGGAGGCTCATGCATTCTTGCAACTTCTTGCTACTTTTGGTGTCAATTCTAATTTTGACCAGGAAGATTTATCCAAGCTAATACCTATGGTTTCACGTCGTCGGCAAACAGCTGATCTTTGTCGCTCCCTTGGATTGACAGATAAAATGCCAGGTTGGTTCTTTGTTTATCGTTAGTTATTTGCCTCCTTTATAATCTTTTTCTTTTGTTTTGTTCTGTTTTTTGCCCTCTTCTTCTTCTTCTTCTTCTTCTTCTTCTTTGTGTTTTTTTGGGAAGGGGGAGGGGTGGAGAAGGGAGGGATTTGTGGGAATAGAACGTGTATAAAGTGTGTAGTGTGTAGTATTTGTTTTATCAGATAGACTTATGTTAAAACTGATCATAAACTTTATATGGTCTAACGTTCGATATAGTTGGGTCTGCAGGCCACTGTGGGGGTAACTTGTTCGCGTATCTTGTTCCATTTATTCTTCTATAAGCTACACTGTGACGGTCATTGTGTGTAAACTTGAGTCAGCAGCATGAGTGCTTGCTGTTTATGAAAGTAGTTATACTAAAGGAACATGTTAAGAAAGCATTCCATGGGCTTCATATTGGTACATGTCTATTAAAGACATGTTGGATGTGCTTCGTACCAATGGCTATATTGTACGGTATCCTGCATGACTGTATGCTGTAGTATCCATATAATATATGACCCAAAAATAACAGAAGCTTTTATTTTTCCTTAAAAATATTTTGTATTGACCTCTCGAGGATAAGTGTTTTTTATGTTAACCTTTCCCTCACCCCCACCGCAGGAGGCCCTTTCTTTCTTATTTTTTGGGGACCTAAAATTGCATCCAGAATGAAGAGTGATGGGTTATTTATTGATGGTAATGTCGATAGAGGTTGGAGAGTGATCGAAATTAACCTCAAATGAGATAGTAGAAAATGATATAATAGCCTATCTTTTAAACAAAAATAACACTTGATAGAGCACAAACCGGAATAGGATTTATGTAGTAGACCTCAAACAGTTGGAATAAGATTTTGTTGAATTGAGTTGAGAGTTATAATTTAAGTCTCGAATAGTATCCTTGAGTCTTTCTTTTTGTTGCCTTCAGTGTAAAAAACCATGAATTTCTAATTTATTAAAGATCATGAAGGTGTACCATGTTTTATTGATGGTAATGTCAGTAGATGTCGGAGAGAGATCAGAATGAGATAGTAGAAAGTAATATCATAGCCCATGGCATAACCGAAACTGAAAGGTTGATAAAGTACTAAGCGGAATAGGATTCATGTAGCCGACCTCTAATAGTTGGAATAAGCTTTGTTGAGTTGAGGGTAGCATCTAATTCTCGAAAATTATCCCGAGTTTTTTTCTGTTGCTTTTAGTGTAAAAATTCACGAATGTCTAAATTTTGTAAGATCATAACGATGTTACTGTGTTCCTGAGTCCTTTTGTGATGATACCAGCCATCAAAGAGCGGACCACCTTTTCTTATCTCTTGTAGATGTGTAAACTCAGAATACTTGGATGACAGCTTTGGATTTAGATCCATGCTGCCAGAGCCTGAAATAGGTGCTTTGTGGCCTGTGCCAATCAGCAAAGTACAAAAGAACAAAAGCAGGTGCTATTTTTTTTGTAGTTATCTGATTTGCTGGAGCAGCCATAATATAGAGGTCCATCAGAAATAAATTAGATTTAGAGAGAGAATGCCTTACCCTTATAATGATCTTTCAAATTCTTTTTGGCTGACTAAAGTCACTAAATACTAATAAAGTAAGCCTTTAGGTTATCATTTTATTAACCTTCACATTTGCATTTGGGATTCTAGGAGTGCAACCCGAATAAAATTTTTCTTGATGTATTCAGAATATACATTGTCACAGAATTTGAAGATTTTTTCTGTGGCTTACTGCGTTCTGCTTTGATTCTTCAGGTGTAATTGATGTGTTGGTGAATAATGGGAGGCAGATTGATGCTGTTAATTTAGCTTTTGCATTTGAGCTTACAGAGCAGTTTCCCCCCGTCTCATTACTGAAATGCTACTTGGCAGAGGCAAAGAAAGTGTCTTCACCTGTTAAACCTGGCAATACATCTCCTAGTGTACAGGTTTGTCCTTCTGATTGTGTTAGATGAGGTGTAATTTTTTTTGTGCTTTCTGAAAATTGCAACTAGCAGTCAACATAGTTGAAGGGAATTTCATGCTAGACACTACGTAGATGGGATATGCATACATGAACCGGAAGTGTAATTACCCAGGATCTCGTTGTACATGGGGGTGGTGTAGTCACCTCACTCAATTATGATTTGTGACACTAAACTTTCTACAACTTGTTAGAGCATCTAACCCAAAACCAGTTGACAATGGGAGGAGTGCACGTCAAGTATATACTTCAATTGTGGGTGAAAGTCCCGCCCTCCCTCATTGGTCATGGGTTTGAACCTACTTGTAATAGTAGTCTCTATGAACTAGATACTGTTGGAAAGGCTGAATGTCCAGCTTGCCTTCAGTGGTGCTGGGGTGATGGGCTCGACTATCTCAGTTTAGTAGCTATGGCTCAAACCTAACATTCTACAACGGGTGGGAACCTCAAGGTAATGTCCTGAGGGGATACTATGCCTGGTCGCCCCTAGCCACCTTTTTTTCCCAGAAAAAAAAAAAAAAAACTATTCTTTGTAGGATACGGGCTCTCTTAAGAGTGACTATATTGCAAAATTAACACTTTCCATTGGATTTGATGGCGTGTGCATTGGGCGTGCCTTCTTCCTCATCCACTCCACCCACTACCATCTCACACCCACCTGCTGCTGACACCACACTGCACCCGCCCACATCACCATCACCCATGACAACCCACCCACCACCAGTTCCACCACCATCACACATACCACACTTACCCACCCATTACCACCATTACACAAAAAGCACCCATCCAGCACCATGTCATACACAAAGTCACCCACGGCCTCTCCCTATCTCCATTATCTTCTCTTCTATTCAGGAATGGTATTGGTAGTTGGCATGATGTTGATTTGGTTTGCCCTTAAACTGCTGCTCTCATGTGTTTTCTGGAACAGGGTTGCATGTAGTCTTCTGATTTGGCATAAGGAGTTGTGGCTAGCTTCTCTGCTGTGGGTTGTACAATTCATAACACTTCACAGATACTTATTCACAAATTCACAAGTAGTTAATATAATGCTTACACTTACAAATACAAGCTCACATATTTGCCAAAATGCTTCAGAAATAAAAGTGGAAGAGAGGATAATTCATCTCATGGCTACCCGTTTATGGAACTTGCATCTATTTTGACTCTGAGGATCAATTTTCAAATACGCTTGGCCTCAACCTGCAAAGAAGCAAAGTAGTTAATTGAGAAAATTAAGAGGCTCGTAATAAATTTCTCTCCTTCTCTCTCTCTCCACTGCCCCCCACCCCCCCAAAAAAAAAAACCCTCAACAACAAACACAAAGATACACATGTATCTGCACTAGAGAATTATGTTGGAAGTTTCGCATATAGAAGTATTTGGACCCACTTAGTAAAATGTGGGCTGATGAGATAATCTTTCCATTGTGCAAGCATCTCTTCCTTTTTTTTTTTTTGATAGGTAACTTTGTGCAAGCATCTTGACTAGTCTAATGCTTTTTCTGATGTTACAGATTGAAGTCAATGAAAGGGAGCTGATTGCACTTAAGGCTGTGATCAAATGCATCGAAGACCACAAGCTTGAGGAACATTATCCCTTGGACCCGCTCCAAAAACAGGTTCTCCAGCTTGAGAAGGCGAAGGCAGACAAGAAAAGGGCAACAGAAGTTGCAAAACCTCAACCCAAAAGACCCCGAGCTAATGGTGTAGGATATGGACCCAGAGTCACTAATGTAGCCACTGACAAGAACTTCTATGCCAGAATTACTGATAGTAGGTATCCTCAGTACATGTACGACAGGCCTTATGCTTACCTCAGACCATCTGACAACCATGTTCCTTCATTTGTGGGTGCGGCGACTTACAACCTATCTCCTGCTCATGGCAACTACTTTGGCAATGGCTACCAGTACCAGGCCCCTTATATGCACTAATTAGTAGGATGGTGGAGCTTTGATTATGATCCTGTTAACTTTTAGTGTTAACCCTTGAGTTTGTTGGACGTTGGGCTGTATGATCAAATTTAATACTTAAAAAAAAACAACGGAAAAAACTTAGCCTTGTTGATTCCTCATCTGTTGTAAAAGTTGATATTGTGATCCTTTAATAGCGCACTGTTTTTCATATTTATTGCATCAACTTATCTCTGTTTAGGTTGTATTCTCCCTTGGCTGTTCTTCCATGGTTTCAAATTGCGGCATGTCTATTGATGTATTTGTACCAGGAAAATGTTGAATATCTGTTGGTCTAAGATTTATTGTTCCGTCTACGCATATGGGTGCTGTGTTAGATATTGCCATCTTGGAACGAAAATGTGGATACAGAGATTTATTCGTACGGTGCAGGATGTTCAAGCTTAAGCTTGATGGGCAGGTGCATACAACTCTTTGAGAAAACCGTTTACCTTGACTTGATTTGAGCTTATGTACAGGGATATGAGCTTAAGCTGGTGGATAACCCTCAAGTAGAAGGCATAAAGAGAGAACCTCTCTTCCCTTCTAAAAGCCACCGTTTTTTGGATCTGTGCAATGGTGTATGATGGTCTTAATTTCATCACTTCTGGAACTGATTTGGTGAGGGCTTTTCCTTTCGATTGCGAATTTGAACTTTAGTCCCATCCCATGTTCGAGGTTCTTGTAGAGTTTTTGTAAGTCAACACTAGAGAGTTTGAGAAAGATCTGAAATACGTACTTGTACGTATATAGGTTTTATTTTCGTTATTAAACCCCCTGATGCTTAGATCAAATTATGGTTGCTGCGCTAAGATCCACCCATTAATTTGTATATAGATGAAGAACCAATCATTTTTACACTCTGGTGGTTATTATTTATTTTGCAAAGGTTCGAAAGAGTTTTTCCTACTCAAAATAAGAATCTGTGAATATATGGACTCAAAAAAAGAATCTATAAAAAAAATTATTTAAATTTAGTTTGTTAATTAATTTTTTTATAGACTTAATATATCATAGTCATTGAGTTGTTAACTGATGATACTCAGAAGAAATCCCAAGAATGAACTCGGGTATGGAGGTCAGACTAGGAGAGCGAGGGCAATCGTCTTTGACGATGGAAAGCAATTCGACAACTCAAAGTTCAAAAAATTCTGTGCTAAGTTAGGTATAAATAATTAGTTTTTAGCTCCAGCTCACCCTCAGTCCAATGGACAAGTAGAGGTCACTATCCGAACTATAAAGGCAACTTTGAAAACTAAATTGGAGGCTTTAAAGGGAAAAATGGTAGAGCACATCCCAGAAGTATTATGAGCCTACAAGACAACTGCCAGTTCAGTAACTCAGGAAACGCCCTATGCTCTGGCATTTGGAACCGAAGTGGTGGCGCCCGTGGAAGTAGGAATCCCGTCTCTTAGGGCAAAGCTCGCAGAATCAGAACATAACGATGAATCACTTCTGCTGAACCTTGATCTCTTGGATGAAAAGAGGGATGGAGCCCTGCAGCGCATTAAAAGCTACCAGAGGAAGACATCGAGATACTATGACAGGAGGGTCAGACACAGAAGTTTTAAAATTAAGGATCTAGTACTTAGGAGGCTCCTGCTTGCAAGAAAGGACTCCACTCACGGAAAATTGGGTCCTAATTGAGAATGTCCCTACATTGTCGCAAGAGTGGTAAGGCCTAGAAACTACGAGTTACAAACAAAAGAGGGTCAGGTTCTGCCTCATTCATGAAACGCAGAGCATCTTAAGAAGTTTTTTCAGTAAATTTCCTTTTGTAATAAGATAGTTCTTGATAAAACAACATGTTCTGATTCATCCCCGCGTGACCCCTTGGAGTAGCTAAGAAGCTAAATATGAGTTTTTCAGCTCATAAACAAAAGATGAGCTTCTCAGCTCATAAATAAAAGATGAGCTCATCAGTTCATAAACATAAGATGAGCTCTTCAGCTCATAAAAGTAAGATGAGCTTCTCAAACTCATAAAATCACGATGAGCTCCTCAGCTCATAAAATTAAGATGGGTTCTTTAGTACATAGAATTATAGCGAGCTCTTTAGCCCGTAAAAATATGAGCCCTATAACTCATAAAACATGCCACAGAACAAAGAATTCACACAGCAAATCCACTGCTTATAAGCACATATAAAAGAGCAAACGTTCAACAACAAATGAAAGGAAATTACAAAACAGTATGAAGAGGTTTGTCTCTCGAGGAACGAAAAAGAAAAGATGAAGGGTTATACGCTCTCCCAAGGCTCTCCTTCAGCTCAGTTATTTCCTTCTCCAGTGAAGCGTTTGCATCCCGAAAACTCGCATTCTCTTCCCTTAGCTCATCTCTCTCCTTCTCCACCTCCGAAATCAAATTCATAAGTTTTTGCCCAGCTGAAGAAAATAGCATTGCTCCCAAAGAAGATGCAGACGAGGGAGAAGAGGAGTCATTCCTCTTGCGCTTCCTGGAAGATGTACTAGCATCCTCGTCCTTATCCGATTCAAGAGGGAAAGGATCAAGAGAGTCATGGAAAGAAACAAAGTCCATAGCAGCTGCCACAACACTGAACAAGAAAAGGTTATCTGAGGTCACCAGCTCAAAAAAAGGCATAGGCTTAGCATGGACCATCTGTTCAACCTTCATCGCCTCCACCAGGTCCAGATCAGGTGCACCTGCAAGAAAAAAAAAATTCAATGAGAACAAGCCATCGTGGAACCTAGCTAGTGAAGGCACTTAAGACACTTACATGTATAAGAATAGCTCCTTCAGGATCGAGGGACCCTACATTCCATGTAGTGCAGCTCAGTGGATCTCCAAGAATCCCCAGAAGCAAAAAAGAAGCACTGAGCCCATCCCTCTAGAGAGGGAGGAAGGTTAAGAATTAGAGGCAGCAGTTTAAAACGCCTCCACCAAAAACAAAAAAAGCAGGGAGCCTTATCCTCTTAAAGATCAAAAAAATAAAGAAACTCAGCCACTGTAGGAAAACTTGTTATTGCCTCGTAAGCGCCAGAAGAGGAAAAAAGCTAATCATGGCAGCCCATCCTTTGGGGGAGAGGCAAGAAGGGCACAAGCCACAGTGAGCCAGGATAAACCCAATAGAGGGGTGAATGAGAAGGAGCAGGTCCATCTCCAAAGCTCCTTCGAAGAAGCAAATCTCCCTTGGAGGAAGATAGTTGCAAGGTTTGTCGGGGGAGGGAACTCGAAGGGGCAGGTCCAAGTCAGGGAAGAACCGCTTCTTGATCCCTTCCAAGTCAGAAGATGTCATCATTGAAGGGACTAAGTAGCGAGAATGCCACTTCCATTCGATCCCAAAAGAAGTTCATTCCTTGAACAGAGAAGAGAGGGGGCAGCCATTAGAAATCCAAAGGGGAGGAAAGCGAAGAACAAAAAACCTTTAAGATTTAAGAGAAAACTCTAAGATAAAAGAAAATCCAAGAATTTATGGAAACTCCGCAAGGACACCGAGTTTTAAGGAATCAAGGAACACACGAAGGACTAAGTCAGCGGACCTTTTGGTTTCCAAATTAAGGAGGCAATAACGCTTGTGGAAGGTAGTTGGGCACAGAAAACAAAGCGGGCCAACTCTCAACTCTATCATCGCGATTTTGTTAGCCTAGGTCATATCAGAAAGACCTCTGAGCACAGTTAATATGACCCTGCGCTAGCTGGAGCTTAGGGCTCTATGGCTACTAGAAGGAATCCTAACTCTGTAGTAAGGTAATGTGAAAATTGATCATCTTGATGACCTTAGCACCGAAATAGAAGAATTCTTGAGGATTGACGCTGTTCTCAAAAGTAGAGAACTCTTCCCAGTAAACTTCTTGTCACTATGAGGGAGGTCAAGTTCCATCGTTCCCTTAAAAGCACCAAACAGCAAGAAAGAGCTCTCTAAGGGTAAGACCTCGCAGTTCTATTAACCTCTTTAGCTCCACAGCTATTTGAAAACTCTTGGAAAAACTACTTTAATAAGAGCTAAGTCCTCCTTGCAAAAGACCATAACGCAATATACCGCTAGCTTTTCAACTTCTCCAACCTCATTTGCTTCAAGAGGATCCGAAGAACCCCTTGAAGCAAAGGGGGAAAGAGGGGCCAAGAGGAGTATAGGGAAAATTGGAGCTAGGTGTATAGTAAATAGGGGAGTGTAAAGTAAAGCTAAGTAGTGCACACAATAACTCAGAGACAGTAGAGGCATCAATAATTTAGGAAAGCAATATGCATGAGCATTTCCCAAATAGAAGTTCGAATATAACAATTCAGCTAAAAAAAAAAAGGAAGAGAATTTTCTAGGCTTCTATATTATGAATAGGTGGAGAAGAGCTTGGCAGCTCAGCTGTTGATGTTTCCATAAGAGAAGTGTTCGGAAGCTCGGCTGTAGGAGCCTTTAAAGGAATAGAGCTTAGCAGATCGGTGGTTGAAATTTCTAGGAGCTCAGGAGCAGGTGGAACAACAGAGACCTCGACTTCAGCTATCGGCAAAGTCAGATTATGGGCTTGAGCCGCGAGGACAGCTGAAGCAGAAGGATCTCTAGTTGTTAAGACAGGAGCAGTTGCAGAACTGGAACTTGTAGAAATGATTGAAGAGGAGGAAACACCTCGAGCTCGAGCCTCAGTAGGTGGAATAGGCACCCTAACCCCTTTAGGAACTGCTTCAGAAGCAGAAGGGGTCAAGACACTGGCCTCAGTGTTAACTGCCTCAGTCTCTTCATCAGCTGAGATCTCAAAATTGAAATTCAAGCCAAGGTAGGTCAACTCAGCTTTGTCTTGGAAAATGAGCCAACCAGTGGCCCACTGAGTAGTAACGTCGTCAGCTAATTTAGCAATTAGATCATCCTTCTTTTGAGCTGCAGCCCTCTATACCTTGAGCTCATTTAGAAGAAAATCGCTTGTCTCTGCTAAGATGTCATATTCTCTTTTCATGGCCCTATAGGAGCTCAAGGCCTCGAGACTCTCTCGGCTGGCCTTAATCCAGTCATCTGTTCTTTGTCTGAGCTC